CAGAGCCTGATGCTCCTGGTTATCTTAGCTCTGGAACATGCTCTTTAATGGGTGGGTTTTGGAATACTCCAGAGATTTCTGGGAAGCGAGCGAGTCTCGAAATGTTCTCAGAAATTGCTCAGTCTGCATGACCACAAACACACTCAGGCTGTTAACTAGAGCTTCCTGGAGGGTAGTGGGTCCCTAAGGATGGAAAACCCATCCCACGTTGCTGCTGGTTGAAAACAAGAGCGGTCTCAGGTGTCTTGTGCAGCCAGGTGGGTCCCAGGTAACTCCTCCCAGGGATAAATTGGCCGAGGCATCTCCTGGAGTTTGGAGCAGAGCAGAATTCCAGGCCTTCTGGCACTGCCACTGCCAGCATGGGACACCCTGAGCTGCTTGAGGCCTCGGAAGGGTCCAGATGAGCAGCAGATGGAGGATCCATGCCCAGGACACGGCTCAGATGAGAACCTTTCCTCTCCTTGCAGGTAGAGCTGCCTCAGCTGTTCCCTCGCTGCCCTTCCCTGGTGATGGATGTTGCTGGGAATACCAGGTGTCCCATTCAGTCCCAGCCTCTCCTGGGCTCACCTCTGAAGTGTTCAAGCTGCTGACACCCACAAATTTTTTGGAAAACACCGGCTTGGACTGTTTGTGTTGTCCTGCTCTTTCCCAGGGCCCCTCGCGCATCTCTGGGGGGAGGTGGGCACAGCTGTGCCTGCTCCATCTCTCCATCCCTCTCCTGGCTTCTTCCAGAGGCCTGGATGGGCTCATGGCTCTGGAAAGAGCCACCATCCACACTGGGCAGATCCACAGTCCTGGGGATGGTGGGAGGTGCTGTGTTGGTGCCAGCCCTGCTGTGCCAGGGGCGCTCTGTGGGCTTTCCACTCCGTTTGTCCCTCAGAGGGAGGAAAAAGGGCAGGATTTTGCTGTGTGTGCATCCAGGAGGGGAGGGAGGCAGTGGAAGGTGGCAGGGAATGGGGGAACAGCAAAGGAGTTCAGTTTTCAAAAGCAAATCCCAAAGAAATCCCTGCTGCTGGATGATGTCGGGATGCTCCCGAGCCCATCTCCTCTGTTCTCCTTGGGCTCTGGCAGGATCTGGGGACATCCCTGAAGACATCCCCTCCTCTTCCCACCACGAGCCAGCTGGGTTGGCCATGTGTCAGTGCCAGCTTGTGCTTCCTGTTTGCTGCTCCAGCAAGTGACAGCAGCCTTGACGGGGTAGGATGTGGCCAGGTCAGCCTTGCCTGTCCCCTCCTGTCCTATCCCCCCCATCCCCGTGCTGCTTCCACAGGGCTCTCCTGGACTTTGCTGTGAAGGGAATGTTATTCTTATAGAATAACATCTCCCTGGAGAGAACTGGATGCTGTCCTGGGGTGCTGGACCCCACTGATGGTCACCCCTGGGTGTTTGCACCCCCCTTTCAGTCCAGGTCCAACCCCCTCCCTGAGCCAGTCCCCAGCACCTCTGGAATGGGTGTTGGGTGTCCTGGTCACTTGTGGACCTCTCTGTGCCCTGAGCCACTGGTCCAGGGGGGTGTTTCTGTGCTGGGGTCTTGCCTGAAGAGCTGCAAGAGCTTTCCTGGCCAAGGCAGGGGGGGGTTCCCTCTCCCCAGAGTTATCCTTTTTTCAGAGAACAGAACTTCTCCTGGGAGAGGCTCAAATCCCATCCCTGAGCTCTCCTACACCTCTTTCCATAGGGCAAAAAAAGTGGAAAACTGTGGGAGAGATCACTGGCATAGTCAGGCTCTCAGCCTGGGGTTTCTTGGAGTGATTTAAGGAAGCAAAAGAGTTTGTGTGTTTTGAGGTTCCAACCCTGTTGAAACCTGCTGCAGGGCAGGTTGTCATGTTCCTTGTTGCACTTGCAGGTGTGAAATGCAGTCACACAGTTTTACAAAAAACACTTTCCTAAGTGTTTCAGGGAGTTGTCTGCAAATCGTTTTGGAGACTTTGTGTTTTTTTTATAGTGCCTGTTGCTGCCAATAAAAGCCTGTACATTATCCCAGTGGATATCCCTGTTATCCCACGTCATCCCTGTGAGGCTTAGGGCTGGGAAATGCCCCCTCGGGGTATCTGGAGCCTGTGGTAGCAGTGGAATGTGCTCCCCCATGGGGGTGTCAGCCCTTGGGGGTGGCTTGCAGCTGGTGGCAGACCAGGGAATGCTGGATTTATCCTGTTGTCCAGCTCTGCTGTGCTGGGAAGGGCATTTGCTGCTGCTGTGGGGTTCCTATATCCCCATCCCCTCCCTCACCCAGCCCCCGTGGCAGTGACAGCCTGAGGGACTCAGCTGGGGTTAAAAACAACCCAACAACTCTGCTCCAAATCCGGGTGAGGGTATTTTTAACCTGTCTCGAGTTCCCTGAGTCACGGGGACCTGGAACGACCCAGGGAGGAGCCGCTTCCCAAGCAGCTCAGCTGGGGCAGCCCCAGGGCTAACCCGGGGAGGGGGGGATTTTTGGGGAGGTTTCACCTTTGGGGTTCATCTGGTGGCCTTTGGGTTTGTGCTCAGCAGCTGTTTGTGGCCTGAAAAGCACGTCTGGGCTGTAGGAAACACCTCAGTGAGTTGGAGACAGCCCCTGGGAGAGGCTGAGTGTGAAGTGTATAAAGTGCTGAGTTTAAACGTGCCCTGGGTAAATAAATCCCCGTGTTTGTATCCTGGAGTGTGTCAGGTGTGCTGGGATGTACTTGGGGAAGAGACCTTGGCAGCATCCATCTCCTCCCATCCTTGTTTTGTGTGTCCTTCCCCCACCTTTACTCCAGGGAAAGCGAGTGGGTGTTTCAAGTTACTGCAGGATTACTCACAATTCATGTCTGTATTTCGTGATCCCTCCGTGTGTGTCTGTGATTAATCTCTTACACAAATACTTATATATAAGTGTTACTGGCAGTCTCACCAGTGGAGTGCTCATCCCACCACTCCAGGAGCCAGGCCAATTGTTGCTGGACAGAGTCTCCTGCAGGATGATCCATGTTGGAATCTGGAGTCAGGCCACCATCCCCAAGCAGGGTCACAGCTCAGGTAGAGGAATTCCTGCAGGGAGAGGCTGGTCTTGGGTAGGAAGTGAGTGATTTTTGATACTGTAGTGACACGAGGGGGTGCAGGATACCACTCCTTGGAGCGGGTCTTTCTGTTTCACCCGGAACCCCCTCTCAGATAATCCGATTTCCTGTTTTTCTCGGATCCATTTCTGCTTTCCTGGGCCCTTTCCCTCAGCCTCCAGCTGGAACAGCCAAGACCCTTTGCTGCTTCCCGCTTTCCCAGGCTGTTTTCTACCTTTTTAAACTCAGTTTCCCTTTTCCAGACGATGACTGTTGTTGCTGTTTCTTGGTTTTGTGCTCCTCGAGGTGTCTGGGGCTGATCTCCAGCACCCAAGTGGCACTTCCCGGATGCATCCTCGGGGATGTACTTGGCCCCCAGGCTGGCAGTGCCCTGGCTGCCAGACCCCTCAGCATCCAGACATCTCAGCAGTGGGCACATTAATAAGGAAATTCACCCCACATACAAGAAAATTGCCTTACTGTGAGGGTGACCAGGAGATAACATGGATTGTCCAGGGAGCTTGTGGCATCTCCGTGCTTATCAGCATCCAAAAACCGCCTGGCCACAGTCCTGAGCAGCCACATGCCCTCAGCAGGTCTGCTATAGCCTGAGAGATTAAATCAGCCACTGGTTTTTTTTTTAACCTTAATGATATTACAGGAAGGCCAGGGACTGCTGACAAGGGCTCAGCAAACACAGAGTCAATAAATGAATCAAATTTACTGTTCCCAGGGCGACAGGGCAGAAGGCTCAGGGATGTACAGACATGGCCCATGGCCTCCAGGGAAGCTCCTTTCCATCCAGCATTAATCAGAGATTCTTATAGGAGGGAATCACAGGTGCCAGCAAGAAGCTGAACATGACATGGACATCCTGAGGGTGTTTTGGAGACCCTTGGGACGTCTGGGAGTTAATTCATCCCTGACTCTCTCTCTGCTGCCCCATTTGCTCCGTGCAATTAGCAGTTGGCAATTAGCTGGTGCCAAGGCCATGCTGACCTCTGTGGCCTCTCGTGGTTTGATGTCCCTTAAAGCTGCCAGACTCTGCCCACTCAGGGATGAAGCTCCTGGTTGTGGTTCTCTTGTATCCCAGTGGCCAAACCTGCCACAAGCCATCCCTTATCCGGGGCTGAAACCACGGAGTGCCCCGAGTCCAACCCCCTGCTCTTCATTTTAATGCCTGTTTTTCTTAAGTCTCCATCTTACTCGGCTCCTGATGCTCGTTGCATTCTCCTCCTAAGGCAGGTTGTTTGGAGAGGGGTCCAGGGAAAGTGTAGAAAACAGGGTTTTCCCCTATTTTCTTGATCCAGGAGGCCCAGGAACTGTGATTTTTCCTATGTGGGAAGGAGGAACGCCGGGGGCTGAGATGTGAATGTGATGCTGCCTGTCCAGGCAGGAAAATCCAAGGAGGAAGAACAAAATAAATAAATAAATAAATAAATAAATAAATAAATAAATAAATAAATAAATAAATAAATAAAGTGGATAGGGATCCAAATTCCTGCTGGCCATAAGCAGAAAGACATGCCCTGCCCTGAGGTGTAGGCAGCACCCACATCCTGGCCCCCCAAACCTCACAGTGGGGGCTGGTCCCCTGGAGATGCTGTCCCAGACTAAAGGGCACAGGTAGCAGAAGGGCCAGTGGATTTAGAGGGGGAGCACCCCAAAACATGCCCTGAAATCACCTGCCCAGGGAGTGAAAAGCAACACGTGGATGGATGGGAAGGGTGGGGGGGGTGCTTTGGGTTCCCCACAAGTGTTAAATAGAGATTCCTACAGCTGTTACCAAAAGTGCTTCTCTACTTCAGGCCTTGCTTTTATGGAGAAAGGGGAAAATGTGCTTTTGGCCTCCTCTGGGCCTGTTTTATTCAAAACCAAAGGCAAAAATGGGTTAATTTCATTGACATTTATTGTGAGTGCTGTAGAGGGTCTGAAACTCAGAGCCCTGAACCCACTGAACCTCGGGGCAGGCTGGGGTTGACTCAGCCAGGTGAGGAACAGCCAGGAAGATCTCTGTCAGCTGGGAGTGGTGTCCACGGTGCCAGGCTGAGACATTTCGAAGGCCCTGGAAGGAAGAGCAGAGGGGGACACGCTGAGCACTGCTGGGGTCGGGCTCTGCTGGATCCACAGGGGCTCTGGTGTGTCCCTCTCCCTGCCCACCCTCGCACAAGACCCTACTGTGGGGGTGACACTCACCCCTCTGCACCTCTGGGGAAGGAGAGCCTGGTCAGGAGGGTGTGATGGCCTGGGGGCTTTCCAGGTTAAACCCAAACACACCCAAGGAATGGCTGAGACCCAATGTGCTGGGGACAGAACTGCCAGGGGACAGGGTGGGATGGGATATTGGGAAGGGATTCTCCCCTGTGAGGGTGGGCAGGCCCTGGCACAGGTTGCCCAGAGAAGCTGTGGCTGCCCCTGGATCCCTGGAAGTGTCTCAGGCCAGGTTGGATGGGGTTTGGAGCAACCTGGGCTAGTGGAAGGTGTCCCTGCCCATGGCAGAGGGTGGAGCTGGGTGATTTTTAAGGTCCCTTCCAACCCAACCCATGCCTGGATTCTATGAAACCAGGACTGCACCTTTCTTGGGGCCCAGGACTTAAAGCAAGGCACAGAATAATTTCCATATCCCACTCTTTTCACTTCAAGACAGTGTGAATTCACGTGGCAAGTAGGAACAGGGGATCTACCTCGCCTTGTCTATCCAACAGACGTCAGGTTCCTCCTGCCTCCCCTGCGTCGTGTGATCTGCAAAAGGACAAATCCCAGCCTCCAGGAAAACGTGTGAGAGGCCCCAAGGGCAAGGGGTGGGATACTGGATTTGGGATGTGGTGGCTGGGGTGCACCAGGGAAGGGACACAGGCGATGGAGAGCTCTTGGAGTCCTCACAAGAGCCAAATAAACCACTTTTAAATAATTCACGGGCTGCCTGATGGGTGGGGACAGAGGGAGCCCAGCTAGCCTGGCAGGAGGCACTGGGAGGTGTTTGGTGGAGCAGAGTTGGATGAAGAGGTGAAGAAGAGAAGACTCACAGCAGAGGAAGATGGTGAGGAGCGGGAGGGCCGACACGGCCGCTGTGCTGAGCACCAGGGTGGTCACGTCCACGAAGGCAGCACATCCTTCTCCTGCCACCAGAGAAACCAGGGGTCAGCACAGGGCAGGGGGGCAGGCAGGAGGAAGGCAAGCTGCCACGGGGAAAACACACACTCACACACACACACAAAAATGAAAAAGTAAAAATAGACGGGGGGGGTGTCAAAACTGGAGTTTGCTTCTGCAAAGATTTCGCTTCCCTGAAGCTCCCGGTTTGGTGGATTATTCTTTCCTTGGAGCAGGTCTGTCTGCTGAGTCGAAGGGATAGGGGGGATTACATGAGTTGTAGCCTTGGGCTGGAGCATCCCCGCTCACCGTGGCGCTGGTAGATGTTCTTGATGAGGAAGGAGGCCATCACAACCGCCACGACCGCAGCCCCCGGAGCCGCATAGCCCATCGTGCGCTGAGCTGCCGAGGGAGGCGGGAGGAAGGGATGGGACTGTGTGTCTGGAGGTGGGGAGGGGGATCTGGCCTCACCCCCAGGGTCTGGCGCAGGATCCACCAACCCTGAGCCAGCACAGGAGTTTTCATTTTAAAAAAAACGAGGGTGAGGTTTGAGGCAGAACAACCCGCCTTGGTGGAGCCTCTCACCTGATTTGCTCTTCAGTTGGATGAAAATCATGGGCTGGAAGATCACGACGGAGGAGACCAGGAAGGTCAGCACGGTGAAGTAGGTCAGGATGATCTCAGGCAGTAGGATGGCAACAGAAGGGCCTGAAAGACAAGAGGATGAGGCAGAGAACCTGCTCTTACACCCTCCCCCTCCTTCATCGCTTGGCACCTCTCCATCATATCCCTTTCCCACCCTCTCATAACTCCCAAGCCTTTCCCTGCAAGCAGCCTCTCCATCCCTAGATGATTTTACTGCCCTTGTGTGACTCTCCTCTGGGAAAGGGCCCTGGGGAAAGGGGAATGGCTGCATTGGTTGTACAGGTGGGTGAATAATCCACGTGGTGGTCCAGCCCCACCCCCCTGACCTGGAGATCCCACACGGGGAACTCACCAATCGCCCCAGATGGGTCTACCCTTTGTGTTTCCTGGTGTGACATCCCCTCCTCCACCACTGCCTTCTTCTCTGACCCCACAAGTCTCTGCATCTCCCGTGGGGTCCTTGCCCCCCACTCCAAAGCGCCCCACAGCCCCTTCCTACCTTCCTCCCTCATCCAGAGGATCCCGGCGGTGCAGTCCAGGATGCAGGCGACGCACACCAGCCCAGAGGTGTAGGCACTGAGCCACCTCCACAGCTCCCCCCCTAAACACCCAGAGCAGTGGGGGGTGATAGCTGTGACCCACACCAGTCCCCTGTGCCAGCCCCCAGGGTGGGATGTGCCGTCCCCACCCAGGTTCTGGGGGGTGTCCCAGGAGCTGGGGGGGTCCCACAGCAATGCTCCTCCCTGTCTCCCACCAGCCAAGGGAAATGGGGGTCTGGCTCCCCTCAACTCACTTATCCTGAGCTTTTGAGACTGGCAGGCGGGGATGATTAATCCGCACGCTGAGATGACGGCGAAGACCACGGCGACCACTGCAACCCTCAGGGTGTCCTTCAAGGGACGGGAGAGACCTGGAAAACAGCCACCTGGATGGGACAGGAGTCAGCACACTGGCAGGATGGCTCTGGTGGCTGCAGGGCTCCTCCATTACCAGGATATATTCCATTTGTTTGCCAGCTGGTGGCCAAATCAGCACCATGACATGTCCAACCTGGGATGGGTACTGCCCACAGGACACCACCCCCTACCCATGACCTGCTCACCATCACTTTGGCCAAGGGCCATCACCTGGGACCTGCTCCAAGGGGGAATGACCAGTCTCCTGCCAAGGACTGTGCCTTGGTGGGATCAGAGACCGGGAATTGCTCCACGGGCACCACCTCACAGAGAGGGCAGCCAGACCGTGGGGGATGGAGGCAGAAGAATGGGATGGAACCACTCAGGGATGCCCAGGGAAAGGGGGAGAGCAGGAGGAGCTATGGGAGGTGAAACCCCATCACCTGCAATGGTGATGTTCAGAGAGGTTTCTTGCCAGCTTATCCCGTTGCTGGCGTTGCAGGAGTAGGAGCCACAGTCAGACTTCTTTGCCGGCCTCAGGTACAAAATGCTGCGGCTGTTGGAGGTGTGGAAACCCCTGTCTGGGGAAAGGGGCTGCCCATCCTTCTTCCAGGTGATGGTGTCCACTCTGCCCTCTGCCACCTCACAGACCACCTCACCAGTGGCCTGAGCCACGAGAGAGCTGCTCCAGAGCTGAGGGCGGGACACGGGCTCTGGAAAGGGAACAGGAACACCGGCACTTCTCTCAGACATAGAATCATGGAATGGTTTGGGTGGGAAGGGACCCTAAAGACCATCTTCTTCTACCCATTCCATGGGCAGGGACACCTTCCACCATCCCAGGGGGCTCCAAGCCCTGTCCAACCTGGCCTTGGACACTTCCAGGGATGAGGCAGCCACAGCTTCTCTGGGCAACCTGTGCCAGTGAAGATGACCTGGAGCATCCATGATGGACACCTGGGCTGCAAATGTCACCACAGCATCCACCACAGAGCGGTCACAGGTGCCTTTCCCTTGGGAAGTCCATCCTGTTGCTGTGCTTTCCAGGACAGGGTTGGTTTTTTTTTCTGCCTGAATCATTGCTTTTAATGGACTTGGGTAAATATGGAGCGTTTGGAAATGCGTCAGAAAATGAGAAAAAAAGCGGAGAAGGCTGCAGATCCCATTCGGATTCCGTGTGGGTGGAAGGAGAGGTGGGTGGGGCAGGGCTGTGGGAGCATTATGGCCACGGCATTATTAGCACAAGGACGGATAATGCCAGAGCAAATTAAGGGAATTGCCAGGAGCAATAACAAGGAGGAACTTCTGGGCTATTTCAAGTGCCTCCTATCCCTGTGGCAGCGGCTGGCGCCTGCACACAGACCACAGGCCAGTGGGGCTGGGGGGGTTGGGGCTCCTCCACAAAGCCCACCCTGCTGGGCTCAGCTCCATCAGCCTGCTGGGTGAACCTTGGCAAAGTGCTGCAGGGACTCTCTGCAGGTGGCAGCGGGTGTGCAGCACCTCACTGGCCCCTCCATCATCCCACCAGTCCCTCTGTCATCTCACTGGTCCCTCCATCTGTTATCCCACCCTCTGTTATCCCACCAGTCCCTCCATTCTCCTACTGGTCCCTCTATCCCTGGACTGAAGAGTGGAGAACAAAGGAGGGAATTTGTTTCCAGGACTGAACTCAGCCCTCTGTCCCAGCTGGGCCCCCCAGAAAGTCTCCTTAGGGAGCATCACCAGATCTTCTCCCCTAGGACAGGGTGGGAACCTCTTTCCAAAGGTCTCCTTGGTGCTATCTCCATACATGACGGGTTCAAACAAGCTCAGGCCTGGCCCATCAGCCTTTGCTCAGAATCCCTGCTCCAACCCCCTTGGTCTGGCCAGTGGTCCATGTACAGTCAAATTCCCCCATGGCTCTACTTGTATCCATCGCCCCGCTCCTCCCTCCCACACCCACCACTCACTGAGGACTTCCAGCAGGATTTCCAGGCTCTCTCTGTCTCCTCCGCTGACAGTCACCCTGTAGATGCCACTGTCGCTTTCCTGGACATCCTCCAGCGTCAGAGATCCGTTGGATGGGTGGAAAACAGCTCGTCCCACGTAGGGCGCGTGGATGGCCGGGGTGTGGGAGCCCCCATCGTGCCACAGGATGGTGTGGGAGCCGGTGCCATTGGAGTATTCCCACCGTGTGGAATGGCTGTGGGTGATGTTATCCAGCCCAGGGAGCAGCACAGAGGATCCCACAGCAGCAGCTCTTCCCTGGGGCGGTCCTGCTGCTCCCACAGCCTGAGGCAACGGCACCAGCGGCGCTGGGGGGAGGGAGAGGGGCTGGGATGGGGCTGGGAGCAACCTGGTCTAGGGCAGGGGGGTGGAACTGGCTTTTGCATTTGAGGTTTTGTCATCCTGACCTAATTTCCTAGGCTCATTCCCAATTCATAGAATCCTGGAATGGTTTGGGTCGGAAGGGACCTCAAAGCTCATCTCATTCCAGCCCCCTGGGCAGGGACACCTTCCACTAGCGCAGGCTGCTCCAAGCCCTGTCCAACCTGGCCTTGGACACTTCCAGGGATGGGGCAGCCACAGAATTCCCAGTCTTGTTTGGGGTTGAACATGTCCACACACTCCCAGGACAGGGGGATGCAGCCACCTCCCCAAAATTCTTGGGCTTGCCACAACTTGGGCTCAGAGAGGTGCTCAAGGACTTCAAGAGGAGCTGCTGTGGGAAGGTCACAGCCCCCATCCCCCCTCCAAACAAATGAGGACTCTAGGAAAGCTGGGCAGAAATCACTCCTGCAGCCTGATCTCGTAAAGTGGATTCTCTAAAAAAATCAGAAGGTGAGGTTAAAGGAGGGAAAGAGAAGGGGAAAGGAAGGGAAGAGATCCCAGTCCATCCCCAGCCACATTTCCCAACAAGTGAGGTGGGATGAAAACATCTTCCTGAGCCCCAGAGCCCGGCAGGGAGGGGCAGTTCTCACGGGGGGGATTCTCACAGGCTGCACAGCCTGTGTTTGCTCTTCGTGGTGTCTCACCTCCTGCCCCGATAAGCAGCTGTTCACCTGCATTCCCACTGCACCTCCAGAGACAGCAAACAGCCCTGCAAACTCTCCTGCTGCTCCCACTGGGGATTGTCCCTGGGGAGTTTGAGGCACAGGTGGGAAAGAAAATAGGGGAGGCAATCCAGGTAAATCAAGTTCACCTGCTGATTTTAATTTCTCATTCTTATGATCTTGAAAATCAGTTATTTTTGTGCCTTCCTGCCCCTCCAAACTGTAGCTGTGGAGGGACAAAAAACAACTTAAAGACTGAAACCCCTTTTCTCTGGGAAAACACTGTTTATACAAAACATCCAGAACCACAAGCTGAAGGAAAGAGAAAACACTTCATCCCAGCAATCTTTTACAGCAGCAATGGCCAAAGCTCATCCTACAGACCCTCAGAGCTCACTGACACCACCCCAAAATCGAGGTATAGGGTAATGGCTTTCCTTTCTATTTTAGATGCTCACCCTGAAAATCTTTGTGCTTTTGGAACTGGCACAGGTTGGCCAGAGAAGCTGTGGCTGCCCCATCCTCAGGAACGTCCAAGGCCAGGTTGGATGGGGCTTGGAGCAACCTGGGATAGTGGAAGGTGTCCCTGCCCACGGCAGGGGGTGGAACAGGATGAGTTTTAAAGACCCTTCCAAGCCAAACCATTCCATAACTCTGTAATTTGTGTTTCAGGGCAGCCAGTGAGTATCTGAGGAGCACAGTGTCACTGCTCACAGAACTGCAATAAAATCTGTGGGTTTACATATATAGTGGTTTTACATATATGTTTTTAACACCAACACACAAATATTAACATATGTATTTGCATTACGACATCTCTCAGCCCCAGTACAAATCTGCCTGCAGCCGACTTTTATTCCTGGCGCTGTGCCTTGGTTCTCCCATCTCCTCTGTCCCTGGACACACACCCACACACACACCTTTACCTTCCAAGCTAAACCTTTTACTCCATCTAAAAAGCTCCAAAGCTCCTCTGAAGCCTCTCCGGGGGTTTGGAGCAGGCGAGGAACTGGCGTGGAGCCCACGGGACGGCACCGGCTCCCAGCGCAGCCCAGCCCGGGGCCACCTTACCTGCGAGGAGCACCCAGGTGATCCCCAGCAGCTCCGCGGGACGGCAGCGCAGCATCTGCCAAGGAAAACCAGCCCCGAGTTTCCCTGATTTAAAACATCCCCTTGAAATTCCCACGCTGGGATGAGAGCAACAGGTGAGGCTGTACCGTGAGGATGGATTCCCGACGCCGTGGGTATTCCCAGCCCGTTTTCCTGCCGATGGCTCCTCTCCCTCCGTGCCGCCTCCTCTTCCCGGGAGCCTTCCTGGCAGCAGTGGCAGCTCCCGCTCTTGTCCCCGCGCTCCCGAGGATGGGAAGGGAAGGGAAGGCAGAGCTGCGATGGCTCCGCCACTGAGGGGGGACCAGCGGCTGCCGCGGCTCCGCCGGGGCAGGGCAGGGGGATCCCACAGGATTGGGAATTACAGGGGACATCCCACACCACTTCTGTGCCCCGAGGGCAGAAGATCCATCCCTGTTCCTTTCCCACAGCTCCTCTCCCACCCCATCCCTGGGGCTCAGCTCCCGGAGTGGAGCCTGAAGTCACCGGATTTGGGGGACAGGGGCTCAGCCTGGCTCCAAAACACTCGTCCCACTGGGAGCAGCTTTTCCCTCCACCTTTAGGAGGTGGGTTGGGATCATCCGTGTCCCACCGGCTTTCTGCAAAGCGAATTTCAGTTTAAGGAAGAGAGACACTCTTGGGATCAGGACCTGGGGACCAAACGTCATCTCCAGACTGAGGGTACAGGGGGATGAGGGGCTGGGGAAGGTTTGGGTTCTGCCCCTGAGTGCTGGGAAAGCTTTCCTGCCCTGCTGAGCACATCCAGACCCCTCGGACTCCCGTGGGGCTCCAAAGGCAGATGCTGGGACAGGAGAGCCCTGGGGGAAGCATCAGGAGAAAGTGGGTGGATGTGGATGGTTGGAGAGCACCCGTTGGCTCCATCAGCCCCGGCCACCAGGCAGGGAGGGGGGAACCCAGCTCCCCCCTCCCAAAACACCTCCCACCACGTGCCCAACACTCACCTTCCCATCCCTTTTCCCGCTTCCTGACCTTTTCTTTCACCACCTGCCTCCTTACCTTTCCCCCTCTGTTCCTCAGTTTGTTACATCCATGGAATCCCAGAAGGGTTTGGGTTGGGAGGGACCTTAAAGCCCATCCCGTTCCACCTCCTGCTGTGGGCAGGGACACTTTCCACTATCTCAGGTTGCTCCAAACCCCAAACGAGGAGTGAAGCTAAAAGAGGAAACAATTTTCAGCTGGGGTGGAAGCAACTTCTCTCTGTTTCATCTGAGCCCTGTGAGGAGCCAAAGGCTCCTGGTGGCACCAGAGAGAGACCAAAAGGGATGCACCAAAAGCTGCACCAGAGGAACTCTAAGAGCTGGGAGTGAGAAGAGGGCTTGGGAGAGCACTGCGGGAAGGAAGAAAGCTCTGGAACACACCGGAGGGAATATGGGGTGCTTTGGTTTCACTGCAGGGCTGAGGACTCTGGGAAGCCCTAAAAGCTGAAGGAGGGGCTGCACTGAACAACCAAGGGGTCCCAAGGGAGGACCAAAGTGGGGGCCCTGGGATGTGCTGATGGGAACGGAGGATCCCGGGGTGCACAGCAACAGAGTCCTTCAGGACTGGGCTGGGCTCAGCTGCCTTCAAACCTGCTCTGCTTCCTCCAGGCACCCTCGGATCCCCCAGACCGAGCTCTCCAATTCCCTCACATCATTCCCACTCCCTGCTCCACCCTCTGCCACGATGGACATGGCATCCCACGGCTCCTTAAAAAACATTCGCAGCCACAGAGGCTTTGAACAGCAACTCCTGGGCTTCTCCGAAGAAATGGAGAGAGCACAGCAGAACAAACAGCGCCGGCACCATCGGGAACCCCGAGACCGCACTGGGATGGGACTCGTGGATTTCTTTAAACACCAATTTCTAGCAGATTGTGCCATCGTGTGGCCAGGGAAAGCAGAAACGCGGGGAAGTCAACGGGGATGCACTGGGTTACGGCTCCTCCTGTGCATTCCCTTCCCCTTGCTGCGTAAAACAGACTTATTTACAAGCTCATCAATGCTTAAATACATATTTTGTTAAGCTGACGATTTTATAAATGATTTATTCGAAGACTCGATTTCTTAGTTTTGAAAAAGTCTGATTAAACGCATCCATTGGATCCCCAGAGCGCTGGGAAGGAGGAGAAAGCAATTCAGTTATTGGCTGAAGGAAGTGGAAAAGCGAGATCACAAAGCCTGACCCGCTGTCACGGCAGCCCAGCAAACACCTGGAGGGGACAGGTGGCACCTGCCCCCAGCTCCTGCTCCTTCACAGAACTTCTGGATGCTCCCAAGCTGCCCAGGAAGAATTTAAGCCCTCTTGGGAGGTGGGGGGATGGTGAAAGCAGATGGAAACGCAGCTCTCCCCACTCCCTGTTTATCACGGGGTGGGGAAAGGATTTGAAATATGAGGAATTGTGTTTCTTCTACATTCACTGGGGACAGTTTTCCCCCAAATGGGTCACACAGTCCTGCTGAGGAGGGGGTTGGCTTGGGGCTGGTTGATAAGGGGTTGGTGTCTGCAGAGCCCACCCCAAGGCACCACATTCCTTGTCACAAAGGCACCTCTGTCACGACAGCGTGGTCAGGACCCTTTGGTGGGGTCTCCCTCGTGCTATGGAGTAGAAAGAGATTTCCAGCAGATTTCCAGCCTGCAGCTGATAAACACGGAGTTCTGAGCAGGGGAAGGTGAAGCTGATCTCTCCAAGGGAAGGTCCCACGGTACCCCCGTGTTTCCCTCAGATCCCGGGGGCACAGGGAGGAAAATAACTCAGGAACCCTCAAAGAATTTAAGGAGGGTTCCAAATACTGATCAAGAGCCCTTTTCCCCCTCCTTTTTACAACAGACTGTTTTGGGCACCAACTCTTCCCTCAGCAGCAGCACAGGGTGGAAGCATCTCTGAACACAGAGCTGGGATGGGTGAGGGACACCACAAGGTCCTGCTGGGGTTTGCTGCTTCTACAGGATTAATGGAGAGCTGTGAAACTTCCCCTCTCAGCTGTGCAGGTGGAACTGGCACCTAAGGAGAACCTACAAAGAGGAAATACTGGGATCTGTGCATTCAATGTTTGGATTAAATGGGGGCAGCGAGTTCAGCACCTGCACTGTGGGCACAGAGCAGCTCACACAGCACAGCCAGGAGGGGCTCAGCCCTGCTCTGAGGTCTGGGCAGGGCAGGGGGAACACCCCAAAAAGGATGAAAAATAATCAAATCCTAAAATGCCCTCTTGGTTCTGAAATTCCAACGTTCCTGTAACAAAAGGATTTGCTTTTGTTTCCTTACCCTGTGGCCTTTCAATGTGCCAGAGCCCTCCCATCTCCTGGGAGCTCTGGTACCTTTAGAATAGGAAAATTTTGGGGTAAAAAACCATACCTGAAAGTTTTTGCAGTAGGCAATGTGATAAAACCTCACAAAATTCCTTAAGAAAGGATGGAAGAGAAGGCACGGCGGGAAGTTTGTCAGCAAATACTGTGGCTGCTGAGTGTCACCCTCCACACAAACAACAGGCAGAGGGAACACCAGCAGGGCAGTACTGGAAGTCAAGGAAAAGTGGGAATTCCACCCCTCACTAACATGGTCATCTCTGCTTCCCAACATGCAGATCTTGCTGCTTCCCTTTTCCATCTCCTCAGAAATGCCCAGAGTACACCAGGATCTCTCCAGGCAGCACGGCTTGGATCAGTGACAAAGAGAAGATCCCAAAGATTTCCACACTGTTCTGCTAAAAAACCCCCTAAAAGTGGCAGCTGAAAAAAAAGGCTGAACAGGGAACAATGCAAAGCTTCCAAATCCTGAAGGCACTTGCTTGGAGGAGCACTTCCTAAGGTGAGGATTAACCAGAGCTGAGCCACACTGGAAAGGCCAGGCTGGGAGCACAGACAGCAAGAGCTGACTGTGCTCAAAGGCAGAGTGCGGTCCCATAAAGCTCCCAAAACCTTTGGCTTCCACCTGCTCCCTCTCCTGAGCAGGCACTGGGAGCTGCCTGGAGAGGGTGGAGGTGTCTGAGGTATGTGCAGTGTCTGTGTCAGGGGGAGGCACCAGCACGGAGAGCTCGGAGCACAGGGAGGGGCACCAGCATTCCTGTCCCACCACGGGGGTGGCACTGGGGGCTGCCTGCCCTTCCCATGAGTGGGACTGGGGGCTGCCTGACACTCTCAGAGGTGGGATTGGGGATGCCAGCCCCTCCCACAGATGGGAGGGGGGGCTGCCTGTCCCTCCCAGAGGTGGGATTGGAGGTTGCCTGCCCCTCCCAGGGGCTGGGCTAAGCCTGCAGCCCCAGCAGGCGGGCCGTGTTCAGGACGTCGTCCCTGGTCAGGTAACAGCCGCAGAGCTGCCGGTATCCCGTGAACGCTTCCCGGCCGTGCAAGGACACGCCAGTTATCCACAAACAGGGCCTGCAGGAAAGGGAAAAAACGGTCATCACAACCACGGCAGGACAGGTCCTGAAATGCCTGGAGACTGGAAGAGCAGGTAAGGGAGTGCCATGGTGGGCACAACACTGTGGGGTCACAGCCTTGGGATCCAGCACAGCTGGAGCCAGGAGCTGTGCCTAAAAGATGACAGGTACTAAAACACAGAAGCATTCTGGGCTGTTTCTCTGCTTCTCCACTGGAGAGGTTGGGCAACAGTTCAACAGCCAGTGGCCACCTCAGAATCCAAGAATGGATTGGGTTGGGAGGGACCTTAAAGCCCATCCCACTCCATTCTCCTGTCATGGGCAGGGACACCTTCCACTAGCCCAGGTTGCTCCAAGCCCTGTCCAGCCTGGCCTTGGACACTTCCAGGGATGGGGCAGCCACAATCTCCTGCCTCTGCAGTCTCACTCACCCATGTAAGGGGTCAAATATAACCTCAGAACTGTAATTTAGTTCCATCAAAATAAATTTATCTTCTGGAAGAAGTTAAAGGCTGAGCACTGCGTGTTTCATCCCCTTTGCTCTTGAGGGTCCTCATTTCAGTGACTGGAAAGATCCTCCTTCCCTCCCCCAGCTGGGACTAACCTTCCTCTGAGGCAGAGCTTGAACCAAACATTTCTGCCTTACCTGGAAGCTCACTCTCCTTTAGGACAGGAGGAACACACACACTCACACACAGAGGCCACTACTGTAACACAAGGTGCCTTAAAGCCGCTGTAGGCAGGAGAGCTGCCCCACACGGAGCTTTCAGCTCAGCAGCAGGACACTGGCACACCCATGGAGCACCCTGCTTCCTTCCCTGGAGCAAGCCCACACGATCACAGCTCCAAGTCCCACCTTGCCTGGCTTCAGCTTGACCCACAGCTCGTTCTCCGGCCGCCTGAGCTCGGTGGTGAGCGCGCGGTGCGCGTGGTACCAGCGGCGCACCACGTCGTGCGGCACCGTGTTGATGACAGCGCGGTCGTAGTTGTTGTACCTGCATGGGGGGGAAAAAGGGACAAGGGGAGGCCCAGTATCACTCCAGCTGCTTCCAGGGGAACCTCAGGAGCCTGCAGGATTAGTCAGTGTTTAAGGGAGGGTGCAGGGATGACCAGGGAGGTTACGCTGCAAGAGCAGGACTTTCGGGGAGTAAGAACTTTACACATGGAGTAAGAGGAGTTTCCTGTCAAGGTAAACCTCTTCTTCCTGGTTTTCCATGGAGGGATGTGGTGAGACTGAGGATTGTTCAGACTAAAAGTGCAAAGCAGTGCTGGACAACCTCCAGCACTGAGCCAAACTGGAGTTTCCAAAAAAAAAAAATCAGCCCAAATTTCCTCTGGAAGGGATCAGTCTGCACTCTCCCTGATCCCTGCATGCCAGGATAGCTCTCCTAGGGGCTTCTCCAGAGAAGGGCTGAATTCTTCTACCTCTCAAATGGAGGGCATGGAGCCACAGGGAGGATGCCAGGAGTGAGACATCAAAGCTCAGCACCGACCCCCACGTTTGTATGGGCGGTTCTGACGCTTCCTCTGAAGCAGGAGGAACACTCAGAAATACCCCCCTCAAAAATACGCTGGTTTTTAGTTCACAGCCTCTTCTGGAAAAACCACTTCCACCCCCCCCCCCTTTCCTCCCCCACGAGCAAGAGGCCTCCCGTTGGCCGTTACCTGATCAGGTAGAGCTCGTTGTTCCAGGGGTACACGTTGAGCACGGGCCCCACGCCGATCATGTGGTTGTGGCAGCCCCCCACGTTCTCCACGTACTCGTGTTTGAGGGGCACTCTGCTGAGCAGCTCGAAGTGCTCCGGGGCCCGGCGCAGCACCTGCTCCGCCGCGTGGAAACCGTCCACCAGCAGCGTCCGCCCGCCCGTGCCCTCGTGCTTCAGGCAGTGGAACACCTGGATGCTGTCAGGGGAGACACCACCCCAGAGGAATCACCCTGGCTGCCCGTCCTGAGGGCAGAAGGTGCTCCCCAGGGACACAGATGGCTGCTCCACCCACACCCTGCCCTTTCTCCAGGCCTCTGATCCCATGTGTTTTGCTGTGTGCTGCTTCCCAAAGCCACTGATGTGAGTGTGGGAGACTTTAGGGTCAGGTCTGTGGCCCAAAGTCCCAAACCTCACTCAAAGGAAGCTGTTGGCTGCTCCATCCCTGGAAGTGTCCAGGACCAGGCTGGACAGGGCTTGGAGCAACCTGGTCTAGTGGAAGGTGTCCCTGCACATGGAGAGGGGTGGAATGAGGTGATTTTTAAGTTCCCTTCCAACCCAAACCACTCTGGGATTCCATGGCTGTGTTCTAAGTCCATCCATGCAGCAGGACACAGAGGTTCAAAAGCATAAACCCACCTTCCTGGAACAGCTCAGAATAGGACAGTTAAAAAAGTGCTGCATGTGCTGGTGAGGTCTCCAGGAACTACAAGAGGAGCCCAGGTAACTCATGCAAAGGCATGTATGTCATGGTCTCCCAAAAGCAGTCAGAAGTCCCTCAGGGTTCTCTTTGGAAAGCCTGGAGCAGAGCAGTCCCAGTGAGGAGCTGACCTACAGGACATCCCCTCCCTAGTGGGAAGCCATCCAGCTCAGCTTTTGTCCTATTACTGCTCTGAAGCTTCTCTTTTCCTTCATCCAAGCGAGGCAGGCATTGCACTGCCAGGAACAAACACACAGGAGTTGCCTCCAGCCACCTACTCCCAATTTTCTCTTGCTGGAAAACTAATGGGGATCTTCTGGAAAAGCCTTTATCTTCCAATCTCCCTTCAGGGCCTGTTATTCCAGTCCCACAGCAGGTCATGTGGCAGGACCTGCCACCCCACCCTCACCTTTTCACCTGAGTGTTCTCCCCACCTTCTACCCACAACAGCTTCAGGATGATTTCAGAGTCAGTCCAGGAGCACTGGAGCAAAGGACACCCCGTGCCTTGGGGCAATCAGCTCCTGGGGCAGCTCAGGGCACTGGGAAAGCCTCCAGGGCAGGCTCAGGTCCCTGAGCAGTGAGAAATGCTGCAGCCTCCCACAGCCTGGGTTTCCCTCCTCCTGGAGCCTGAGTTTCCCTTTAGAAGAGGGTTAGGAAAGCCAGAAATTCCTGGGTTTCCTACACAGCTGTGATTTTGTAGAATTCCAAGCATTAATGGTCAGCCCTGCTCATTCACTGGTTGATGCACTCCAGTTGGCTGCAGGTGAGAATACACCTACCTGAGGGGAACCCTTCCAAGTGGAAAAGGAAGGTATAAAAATAGCTCTGGATTCTGGTGCTGAGCACTTCAGTCGAAGCTCTCCGGAAGGCTGAAGTTCTGATCACTAATTAATTCTTTTATTTGGCTTTGGGGAAGGTTTTGTGAGCTCCCAAAAAAAGTCAGCCAAGCAGGTAGGTCATAAAAGCACATGGGTCCTGCAGGTTCACTGGGAATAGGGAAGCAAAATAGATCTGGCTGGAATGGTGGAGATCCAGATTCCAGATCCACAAGGCCCAGTAAAATCCACTTACTTTGCTCCTGACACTGAGCTGCTCCAGAACAAACACCACCACCCAAAGCTTCCTGCCTGGCTGGCCACAGCCAGGTACAGCCAGGTCAATCCACCTTTCCTGCTCTGAAGGGCTGCTCCAAAACCCAGGTGCAGCCAAAGATCTCACCCTTCCATCTTCCTCTCTTCTTGCAGCTCTTTTCCCATTAAGATGTTTACCAAATTCACAGCCTCACCGTGGGAAGAGCTAATCCTGCCCTGGGGCCTGATGGCTTCTCTTTGTATCCCTAGATCCATGTGGGATCACAATGCTTCCACCTGTTCTCCCACAGGCCATTTCCAGAGGATTCCCCTCTTGGGAAAGCAGGCAGAAAGGAAAAAGCTAGGAAGTGAGTCTAAGTCATAGAATCCTGGAATCACAGAACAGTTTAGGTTGGAAGGGACCTGAAAAATCACATCATTCCACCCCCTCACCATGCTGGCCAGGTTGGAAGGGGCCTGGAGCAACCTGGGCTAGTGGAAGGTGTCCCTGCCCATGGCAGGGGGTGGGACCCTAAACCCAAAGCATTCTGGGATCCCATGATCAGACAGGCCCCAGAATCACTGTGTGACCAGCAGCACATCCCAGCAGCACAAGGAAGCCTGTGCTGGTGGGAAAGGCATTGCTGTGGCCTCACTCCTGCACCCTGCCTGTGTCTGGGAAGCAGCAGCAGCAGCAGGACGTACCCACAGGGCTCCTGGAAGTAGGTGGTGTCCGTGTGCCGGTCCAGGGCCAGTTTGGTGTAGGCTGTGTCTCCCCGGGAGAAGTCAGAGGTGAAGTACCACATCCTGCCATAAATGGTCTCCCTGGAAAAGAGTTATGGAGCACTGTGGGGATAGGCCTGATCCCCTCTTGCATTCAGAGTTACTGCCCTGCATCCTAAGTACAGAATAATTAAAGTAAAACATCTTGACAAAATTTACAGTCAAGAGACATTGCTTCTAATCCCTCTTCAAGTATTCAAATTCCTCTCTTTCCTCCCAAAAGGCTGGTGGTGACAAGTCTTGCTTCCTGTCCACAAATACAGATGTTTTCACACTGAGCATCATCCCCAGTCAAATCACTTGAGTGACACAAGGAGCTGCCCAAGTGCAGTCAGCCCTTCCTTGTACCCACACAGGGTTACCCAGTAATTCCATTTCTTCTTCCCAGGATCCTGTGTTCTCACCCACCTCATCCCTACAAACATGCACAGGAGGGAAGGGACAGCAGCAAGGACAAACAGCACTCAGGGGCTACACAGGGAGGATGTCTGGAGACAGAAGTTGGTTGGATATTCCCTGGAGCCCCTCATTCCTATTTGGAGTGACCATTCATCAAAAAGAAATCCCTCCTTTTCCAAGGCAAGTCAAACTGTTCCTGCAGCTTGGATAAAACTCCAAACTCCCTGCCCAGCCTGCTGTGCTGGTGGTGCTTTACACAAACCCAGCAGACATGTTTCTCACTCTGTTTTTCTTTAGTGAGAACCATAACTGGTTTTTGAAGTTCCTGGCTCCCAGGGCTGGTTTTTGATGTCCCTGGCTCCCAGGGCCAGGCTGCCCTCCCGACCCCTCAAGTCATAACAGGAAATGTCTCTCCTTGCAAAGCTCTGCTCTTCCCAGACAGCCACTTCCTTCAGTCCCTGCTCTCTACCCAGTCCCACTGTCACAAAAGTCATTCTAAGCTCCCGGGGCAGCTCCATAGCCCAGTGACTCCCAGCTCTGCCACAGAAGGGGGCAGATCCCACCACGGGATCCTCCATCCCAGGGCCTGTGGGGCAGCTGGAAGCTGCAGAAGACGCAGAGCTTTTGTTTGCAAACCAGGCCATGCCACAAAATAGACAGGATAAGGACACAGCACCTTTCCAAACAAGGAGAAAACAAGTTTACCCTCCCCAGGACAGCCCCAGTTACCTGATGATGCTGATCCTTTCTGCCAAGATTTCCGTGTCCTCTTTGGTGGGAGCGACGTTCTCCACGAAAGCAATCCCGTACAGCAAGAAGTTCTGCAGGAATTCCTTCAGGCCCTCGTCTGTCTCCAGGAAGCTCCGGCAGTCAACGGAGGGGACCTGGGCTTGCCGGTAGATCTCTGCATTCCAGAGGATCCGGGGTGCATCACCTGCTTCTTCTGCCCCTCGTAGCTGTTCTTCACCAGCCACTCCAGCCCGTAGCGTGTCACGTGTCCATCCGGCCCTGGGACACGGGACAAAGGGCACAGTCACCACTGAACAGCCCGGGATCGTGGTCATGGCATCGGTCAGGACAGGCCTCACCCCCCTCACCTGCCTGGACAAGGGCTCTCTGCACCCTGGTGCCACCCAAAATATTATCTGTAAGGTCACGACTCCTGAAAAAATTATCACTGCAACAACTCCCTCCCAGTTCAGGGCTGCTGCAAGTCCCTCCAAAAATTCAGGCCTCAGTGGTGCACCCTCAATGGTTTTGGTTGACAGGATTCCATGAGAAGCAAATCATCTGAAGCCAGGCCCTTGAATAAAGGCAAGCTCCATCAAAAGGAAGGAAACAGGTGGGAAACTGAGGAGGAAGGGAAGAAAATGGGCACTGTGATCAGGGGTGACACCACCTCAAACACACCCGTGTCTTGACCCATCTGTTCACCACCTGCATTTCTGGGGTATTCAATCAAACCAAGCAAATGCCCACCCACTGCACACAACTATTTCTACCCAAAGAAGGGCTGGGGGAGGAAAACCAGACACAACTTAAGGCTGAGGTGTGTTCACAGTAAGAGCAGCGTTTCAAACCTGCTCCCAGCTCGATACCTTCCCAGCCAGCCACCGATTTTGGGATAACGCCGTCCCGTCCCGGCAAAGCCGAGCGGGATCCATCAACCAGAAGAGGAAGGGCAGGGGTGCTGTGGCACTCACAGGTGAGGAAGAGCGTGCTCTCGTCCACCCGCACAGCCTGGGGTCTGATGGCCAGGTCCACGCTGGCCGTGTCCAGGCTGCGCTGGTTGGTCTTGGCGTTGTAGCAGGAGGCGGAGCGGCAGTGATCCCGCAGCCACACGAAATCCAAGCGCATCAGGGTGCTCCCATACCGGAGCTCTGCAAAGGGTGGGAGCAAAGGATGCTTTGGGGAAACAGGGAGAAAAAACAGAGCCCAGAATGCAAGCCCAGAGCCCACACGTTATGGTAACACTGATAGGGGACATAAAGGTAGCTCTTGATGTAAATTGTCACATGAGGAAGACCAGGCAGGACATCTTAGCAAAGGCCTGGCAGTCAGGGATCCCACCAGCTTCCCTTCTTATCAAGTCTTATCAAAGAACCATCCCAGAATGGTCTGGGTTGGAAGGGACCTTGTGGTTCATCCAGTTCCACACCCTGCCATGGGCAGGGACAACTTTCCACTAGCCCAGGTTGCTCCAAGCCCTGTCCAACCCAGCCTCGGACACTTCCAGGGATGGGGCAGCCACAGCTTCTCTGGGCAACCTGTGCCAGGGCCTGCCCACCCTCAAAGGGAGGAATTTCTTCCCAGTATCCTGTCTAACCCTGCCCTCTGTCAGTGGGAAGCCATTACACTGCAACATCCCCTCCTGCAGCGGGAAGGAGCACGGCTGACACTCATCCTGTGCCCAGACCTCCCTCCAACATCTCTTCCACAAGGGGTAAAGTTCAGAGCTGCACATCACAGAGTTGCAGAGCCCCAGCACAGGAGCGCAGAGAGGAGTCAAAAAATCATTAAGCCTCTCTCTGTCCCATCTTGGGACAGTTTAGGAATACTCAAAGCCCTTAGAAGGCAACAGGAGAGCCCTTCCTGCTCTAGTCCCACCCAGCTTTGAAATTCAGGTATCTGAGGTCACTTTGCAGTGACAAAACTACAATATCCTTTCTGGGGGCCACTGTAAGGTGCTGAGCAATTCCCTTTGCTTCCAACTGACTCGGAGTACTGAGATGCAACTGGCCTCAGGAGCCATCACCCAGGACAACATGCACCAGTGGGGGCAGAAGAGGTGGGCACACACCAGATCCTCCCTGCCAGGAGAGCCTGAGCACAGCAGAGAACACGCTGCCTGGCAGGGCAGGGCTCAGATGCAGTTTTTGAGCTGGAATCCCTGGGTTTGACTTCTGATTTAGCACCGCCTCGCTTATCATATATAAGACTTGCTGCCAGCGGACAAGCCCGCTCCGTCCCGCCTTCGGGAATTCTCAGAGGGAACCAGCGCGCTGGTCATTTCAGAGGGAAAAAAAATGGGAACAAGGTCTGGAAAGTCTCAGTGCTCTGCCCGGGCAGCCTCAGCAGCAGGAGCACACAAACACCTACCGAGATGGTCGCCGTGCAGCTGCCAGGCACAGTGCAGGGGCTGCGGGGCCGTGTGGTGCCCTCGTGCCATCGCCGCCACGATCCTCGGACACCCACGCCCGGAGCTCCCCCGGAGCAGCCACGCCAGCCTCCGCCACCACATCCTGTCAGGAGAGAGGGAACAGGGAACAAGGTGATTCGGCTGCGCTGCTGGGTCATAAACCCCAGCAGGACACAACCCTGAGGAGACACAAAGGAGATCCCGGCACGGGTTGCCCAGAGAAGCTGTGGCTGCCTCATCCCTGAAAGTGTTCGAGGCTGGACACCTGGAGCAACCTGGGCTAGTGGAAGGCGTCCCTGCCTACAGCAGAGAGATAAACCTGGTGATTTTAAGGTCCCTCCCAACCCAGATCATCCCATTATTCTGTGATTTATCAGGCAAAGCCATTCCAGGAAGGACGGCTGTGCAAACAAGACTCTCGTGCAAAACAGGGGCAAAGTATCATCTCTGCAGGTCTTTTCCCCGCTCCAGCATTCCTAGTTTGAATTTACCACTCCTGGATGGAACTGCAGTGATCAGGGAAGCAAAACGACCTTGGTTAGAGAAGCAATAGCAGAGAAATCCAGTAATTAGGTCAGCTCTAGAAAAAGCAGGCAAAACAACGAGGAGGAGGAAGATCTCTGCTTCTGGTGAAGGACACAGCTGGCATGGAGGAGAAACCACCGTGGTTAATTTTAGGATAGAGATTAGAAGGCAATTTCTCAGAGGGAAATTTGTAACAACTCTTCAGTGCAAGGAGCAAGGGCAAAAAACTGACAAGTTTCAAGAGGTGAAGCCTCAGTTCAAACGTCCCGTTGTGTTTACGAATTTCTGGGGGCCAGGTCTAAACCCAGCAGGATTTTAGCAGCACTTTGAAGTGCACAGAAATGTGGTATCTCTGGATAAGACACAGGCTCAGAAAGCATTTCTTATCCCAGACTTCTGATTTTCCTTTGCTGTCTTATCTGGAGAGCCCAGGCACCGGGGCTCTGGCTGCCCAACCTGCTTCTCCACTGCAGAGATCTCAAAAGTTGGTGATAACAACTAAATCCACAGAGGTGCCACATTCCCAGACAACAACTTGTTAAGCAGGAAAAAAAAACAACCCTACAAACCAGACATCTCTAGGGGGAAAAAGTGGAATGTTTTTACAAGAGAAAGTGGTTTGAGATGAAGACACACTCCAGCCACAGGTTCCTGGGCCCAGCTTTGGCTCTGCAGAGGGGCTGCAGACCCCACCTGGCTCCAACCTCCTTTTCCAAGACATCCATTCCCCATCCCCCCTCCCCAGCTTTGAAAATCTAGCAGAGGAAAAGCCATGAGCCCAACTTGACGAGCAAACCTGATAACCAAGGGAAGGAATTCCTACAGCTACAGAAAGCCAGGAGCTGCCCCTGATGTTTACTGGCTTTAAAAGCTGATAGAAATGATTTAAATCCCTGACCCAGAGACTCACAAAGCTTAAGATGATTCTTTGAGAAAGAGGGAACCTCTGTCTAGTTTGGCTTTTGGATCCACTAACCCGAGGGGGGGGGTGGAAAACAGAAGGAATCTTGTTTGCACACTCCTGATATCTCCTCACCCAGAACCCAGAACTGCTGGGAGCAGCTCATCCACAAACCCATCTGGCACATGACCTGTGCCTGGGGCAGCTCCAGCCTTACTTTGATCTCTCCATGCTCATCCCTTTTATGTCATCCTCTCCCAGTATCAAAACTGAGCAGGGAACAAACACAGGTAGTGTGAGGTGACCCAGATAGTTAAATCTAATCAGAGAGACCTCCTGTTGCTCTTACTGGAAGAAAACACCACAGGCAGCCCACAGAGAGCCTTAAATTCAATCTTTCCAAGAGAGACTGAAACTAAGAGGAGCTAAAATCAAAAAAACCTTTATGATTAAGAGAGGATTTACATTTTTGGTTGGTTAGTAAGAGCTGACAGCTCCCTCCTGGCTGGAATGAGCTACATGAACAGCAAACTCTCTTCCTGCTCCTCCTGCTGCCTCACCTCTATGCTTTCTGTTGTCCAGACCTTGCACAGCTCACCTGGGCAGCAGTGAAATGAGAGAATTCTGGACAAAATTCCCCTTGGAGTTCAAAAAGAAAGGGCAGGAGGGAGAAGACATTAAACTACCAGGTGCATAAAGACACGTGGTGGGTGACACAGAGGAGCAGGCACAGAACCCACGCTGGGCCTGGCAGGGTGAAGAGGAGCAACAGAGCTGCAGGGAAAAGCAGAAAACCCAAAGCTGTTGTGGTTTGAGGAATTCCAATCAGTCTGTGGAGAAAGAAAAAGGACAGGAGATGCTGTGGAAGGAGTGGGAAGGAAGGACGGGCCTCACAGGGGGCTCATCTGCCGGGGCATTTCCCGCCTGGCCCTGCAGTTTGTCTCACAAGAAACATCTGAAAGAACTAAAACTGGTTTTAAGCTCTTTGTGGAAAAGCCACAATCCCCATTCTGTGCAAAGACAATGCTGAAAGAACAAGTAACTAAGTAGTGTCAGCAAGGGGAACGTCTAAGGAAGGAGAAACCCCATAAATATTGGGGCTTTCACAAGTTTTTAGCAAACCCCCCCTGGGCACAGGGTGACCCCACTGCCCTCCCTGCTCTGCTGTGCCCAGACCTGCTCCAGCACATCCAGCCTGTTTGTCCAGCTCCTCTGAAAAAAAAAACCAAACAAATGAATAAGTTTTCCATGAAAAACATTTCAAACATTCATCTGCTCCCACTCACACAGCCTCTCTCACTTCTGGAAGCACCTGGCTAGAGCCAAGGGTTCTGATCCGTAATAAACTGGGAAATGCCAGTAGCACAACAGCCTCAAAGAGAGGGAAAGAGAAAAGGAATTGGTTTTCAGGCCGCCTGAGAAACCCTGTCTGCAAACCTCATGTCCTGCTGTCTCCTGGCTCCAAAGGGCTCCTTCGACCTGCCAGTTCTCCCTGCAGTGGAGGGAACACTGAGGAAAAGAGGAATTCTGCAAAGGCTGAGCTGCCTTGAGGGCTGTGCCAGAGCCAGAGGGGCAGAGAGCACGACCCCAGGGGACAAACCAGACCCCCCAGGATGGCAGCACCTCTTAGACAGGACACAGGCAGAGTTTAATAGCCCCAGCTGACCCAGTTAATTACAATTAATTACCACAGAGACAAAAGGCAGACTGGTTGTTCCCTGCTGAGCCTCTGTTCCCCCCCACCCCAGACATCTCCATCAGATCTCAGCTGTCAGGAACCAGATTCCCCTTCCAGCCCTTCCCCACGTGGGATTTCAATGAAATTAAGGAGCTAATAAAGACATCCCAGGCACTGCCAGCTTCACAGCTACTTCATTTTCCTGGAAGTAAAGGGAATTATCTGCTCACCCTCTGTTTCACACCGACCACCTGACTCCAGGCCCCATGCCCAGAACCTTATTCCAGCCCTCCTGTTTGCACCTATCCCGAGTAAAGTCCTTCCAGGCAGCACAGCATAACAGAAACAAGCTCTAATTCCTTTTTTTTTTTTTTTTTTTTTCCCCAGCAAAGCAACCAACCCTCATGGCAGAACCCCCAGGGGGAGAGTTACTGGAATAAATTTCTATTTTGCAATCACTTCATGCATGTGCCCTGGGTCCTGCCCGGGCACAGACGGGCCAGGCAGCTCTCCCGGGCAGGGACGGGTTTTTTTTCTAGGGAAAGAGGGAGAACAAAAAAAAAAAAAGGGGGGGGGGGGGAGAAAAACCACAGGATCTGTGTCGATCACTGTGCGAACCCCGTGTCTGTGTCACCTGGGGCTCTGCGGGCGCGGGGCTGAGCTGGGGGCTGATGGAGCGAGGCTTGCGGTGCTGAACGGATGGGACTCCCGAGGGTCTCCACTGCCGCTCCCGGCTCTTCCCTGCTCCTTCCTCCTCCTCCTGCTGCTGCCGCTGCCGCCGCTCCCTGCGCCCAGCAGGCCGAACGCGCCGCTCGGGAGCTCTCACACATCGAGGGAACCGGCGCGCCGGGCACCCTTTGGAGGGGAACAAAACAAGGGAAAAAAGCCACGTTACGAACGGGTCTCTCCGCAGACGGGGCCCGAGGCGGGCCCGCCGCCCCCCGACCCACCTGTGCGGCTCCCCGGGCCCGGCCCCGGTGCTCGGAGCGGCGCTGCCGGGCCCCAGAGCCCGCGGGCGGCGGCGGGGCCGGGCCGGGAGCGGGGCCGGGGCCGCCTCAGGCCGCCCCGGGGCGGGGCCGCCGCCGCCGCCATAGAGATGCGCGGGGCAGAGCGCCCGCAAAGCATAAAGCCGGGGCGGGCCGGGGATGGCACCGGGCCGGGATGGGAGCGGGGCGGGCGCGGGACGGGAGTGGGACGGGAGCGGGGCCGCCCCGGTACCGGGAGGCCGCGGGACAGAGCACCGCCCGCGCCATAGAGAGCGGGGAGGGAGGCGGATAGAGCGCCGCGCACCCACACCATAGAGACGTGCGTGTCCCGACAGCGCGGGGGTGGCGAGAGCGGTGACAGGCTCAGGGCACGGAGCGGGGCGCGGAGAGGCGCTGCCCCCTGGCGGCCGGGCGGGGCGGCGCTGCCCGGTCCCGGTCCTGTCCCTGTCCTATCCCTGCTCCATCCTTGTCCTGTCCCCGTCCCTTCCCGTGCCCCTGCTTTGCCTCTTTCCCTGTTCCGTCCCTGTCCCGTCCCTGTCCCTACCACTTTTCCCTGCCCCTGTCCTGCCCCGGTGCAGGTGGCGGGTAGGGGGAGGAGGAAGGGGCGGAGGCGAGATAGACACACCACCTTTCGGGTTATAAAACGCTGATTTCCGTCAAAAGGCACCGGAGCAGCGGCTCGTACGCGGGAAAGGCAGCGGGTCCCCGCTGGAGGGCCGCCTCGGCCCGGCGGTGGGGCTGCAGCCCCCCGATCCCGCTCCCACCTCTCCCTCCGGGACACGATCCCAGCCCCGCATCCTCCGTATCCCAGACCCCGCCGGGTCCCAGGCCCCGGAGCTCCGGGTTGTTCTCCAGCACGAAGCGTCCGCGGGGGCAGCATCGTGGGAGCGAGATGGTGGATCAGAAGGAGCCCCAGACCCGAAAGTGGGAGCGGCACTGGGGACTCCCCGAGAATGGGTGACACGTGGTGGCACTGGAGCCCTGAGCTGTGGTTACCTGGGGATAAGGTTAAACCTGTCAGACATAGGGAATTCCAGGATGGATTGGGAGGAACCTTAAAGCCCATCCATTTCCACCCGCCCTGCCACGGGCAGGGACACCTTCCACTAGACTCGATTGCTCCAAGCCCCGTCCAACTTGGCCTTGGACACTTCCAGGGACATCTTCCTCTGTGCTTAAACGTGATGGTGCCTCGCCATGTTGGGAATGGGGCAGGATGAGGTCCCAGTGGTGTCTCCCGGGTTTGGGAATGGGGCAGGATGAGGTCTCAGCGCGTTACCTGCGCAGTCAAACCAGCCCGGAGAAGCACCCGGAGCTTCTCCCCAGTGCTGTGCCGGAATTTCCACGCCCCGGTTTTCCAAACTCCAGGTGTTTTGAGCCTTTCCAGTTTCCCTGCCGTGGCACTCCCGGGTGTGCGGCTCTGGCAGGAGGCAGAGGAGCCTCAGGAGCCTCTGCCCGCGTTGCCCTCGCAGCGAGGGGACGCAGTGGTGCCACCGCGGATTCCCCGTTTCCGAGAGCGTTTTTCAGGAAAGGGATGGGGGCGGCGCCTGGAACAGGCAGAGGAGTTGTCGGGGATCTGCCGCTTCCCAAAAACCTCGGTGCAGCTCCCGCGGGAGATAAACAAGTTAGTCACTGGGTGAGCTCACGGCACAGGCATCCCGGCCTCCATGAGAATTTGTCGCGGGCCCTTCCCGGGGTGCGATCGTGCCCCGGTGCCGGATCCCCGGAGGAGGCAGCGGATGCGGTGACCGGCCCCGTGCTCCTCGTGCTCGGGCAGTGCCTGCCGCCTGTCCCTTGGTCCTTCCTGACAGGAAGCCCTGTCCCCTGTCCCACCGTGCCCCGGCACAGCCCCTCAGCCCGCCGGGTGCCTGCGGGATCCAGGCGTGTTCCCGACGGGAGCAATGGATGCCAGTAAAGGCGATTAAACAGTGACTCAGCTGCAGGGCTGCTCTCGGGGGTCTGGGGGCTCTGGGGAAGAGGTATCCCAATCCCGTGGTGTCCCAATGGCTGCGTTTGGGATGGGCAGTGCAGCGGCATTGGGATGTCCCGTGGTTCGTGCTCACGGGGCTGTTTCTCCTCGGGGTGTTGGGCACGCTCTCCAGAGCTCACCGGGATTTGTGATCCCTCCTGTGCCCCGTAGGGTCCCATGGGATGGGGACAGGCAGCGCCACGCCCCCTCGGAGGGGCTGACATCCCCCCCGCAGCTGCCCAGCGATCTGGAGATGCACCTGCTGCGTGGCCTCAGCACGTAGGAACTCACGTGCTGGGAAAGAAAGTGCTTGGGAGCTTTCTGGGGATTTCCCAGGGAGAGTTGGGACCTGGGAATTTTCTGCCCTCCCCCTTCTCCCCTCCTTCCTCACTCACACGCTACTCCCGGGGTCACAGACGGCTTTAAAAAAAGCAACAGCCCACACAATGCTCTTCCCTTCTCCAGCGGGTGCTGGTGACGAGATCCCGCATCCGGTCCAGGGGATCCGGAATTAGCCCTCTGCCTGGGAAAGGCCCTGCCAGTCCCTGCCAGTGGCTCCCACTCCGTGGGACTCCCATTGCCCACATGGAGGAAAGGGACTCTGGATCCTGCACGGGCATCCTCCATCGGGTCATGCAAGGAATCTGTCCCCCTTCCCTGCCCACGGGGTTTCTAGGGGCTGCTGGTGTCAGTGCTGATGTCATGCAGTGCTTTGGGTGACGTGCAGAGCATACACAGGTTTCTCTTTGCACGTGGGGGATCTTCTAGGACAAAGTCAGGACAGGGAATTCACATTTTCCAGGAAATCTTGTGGCTCTTTCCAGGAGAGCAGCAGAAACCATGGGCGGCTGAGCCAAGGGGGTGTTCCTGGAAGTGGTTTGCAGGACAAAAGTTCTGGAAAGTGTCACTGTGGGTGGTGGAACATGAATGACCAGTGCCAGCCCAACCCAACATGAATGATCCAAAGGAACCCAACACAAATGACCCAACCCAACACGAATGACCCAACACAACATGACCCAACCAGCCTCAATATAACCTGACATGAACGACCCAACCCAGCTGACCCAACACAACCCAACCTGACACAAAAGACCCAGCAGGAATGACCCAACCCAACCCAACAACAATGACCCAACATAACCCAAGTCAACCTAAATGACCCAGCCCAATGAGAGTGACACAGCACAACCCAACATGAATGACGTAACCCAACAAAACCCATTGTGGATGATGCAGCACAGCAAGATCCAAGGAAAATCAAAAAGATCTTCTAGAAAGCTCCAGGAGAGGAGGGTCCATGGGCCAGAGCTCCAGCTGTCTGGTCCTCACCTAACTCCTGCTACAAGGCTGTTGGAATGAAACAGAAACCTCTCCGACCAGGCCTTCCCCTCCAAACAGGCCGGGAGGTTCTGGTGACTGTGTGTTGGGGACCTGGGAGTCCAGGGAGATTTTCTAGTGATCCAAGGGCTATCAGAGCCAAGGGATATGTGCTGGTCCCTCAGGCACAGCTGTGGGCTGCTCATGGGGCCACTTGTGGCATCATTTTCTACTCCGGCGTTTCTTGTCCCTGAGGCCAGGCTCCCACTCCCAGGAATGCATCACATCCCCATGGAAACAGAAATGCTTACTTATCTGACTTGTTTCAGTCATTTTTAATTTAACTAAATTCCCCATTTCTCTCTCTCTTTATTTTTTTTTTTGGTTATTCGAAGGAAGGAAGGAAGCCCAAACTCGGATGTTTGTTTGTTCTGTCCTGGCCGATGTTCCCTTGGTCGCGTTCCAGGGGCTGATAAACTGGCAGGGAAGTGGAGCGTGGAGCACGGCGGAGCCTGGGAAAGGCTGTGACCCTGCTTCCCCCTGGCCTTACGTCACGCTTTCTCTCCGATTAGCTTGGCCTGGGGGCCGCCTCTGCCAGCTGCCTTGGTGGCCCCCTCTGCTCCCTTTGTCCCCAGCTCTTGGTGGGACATCCACCAGGAAAACATCTCCTTGCACCCAGGTTCCTCCCTCCCTGCCCTGGTGTCACCTCCAAACCCCATGGTGTGGTTGGGACCTGTGGGTCACCCCTTGCCAGTGGGACCGTGGAGAGGGAGAACCCATATGGATGGATCTGGGCTCAGGTGGGAGTTGTGTTCTTCTCACAGACCTTCACTGTCTTCATCCAGGCAGGTCCCACCTGGGATGGTCCCATCCAGTGATGTCTGAGGCTGTCACAGCCCCCAGGCAGGGCAGAGATGTGTGCTCGCTGGTCTGAGCAATGCCAGGAGCTCCTCCCAAGGCTCCTGACAAGAGCCATCAGCTTGGAAAGCGTCTCCTCCCTCCAAGTGGGAACATGTCCCTGAAGAGGGAAATACCTGTGGGGCATGGAATATGTGCCATAGATGGGGGAGCTGGGGGTTTTGTGGGTCCCTTGCTCCCTGCTCCCTGTCTGGGGTCAGGGATGTGGTTCAAGGAAAGGGGAATGTGTAATGGGGGCTGGACCTGTTCAGGAAGCTTCTGAAGCTCTCCTGGGAAGAGCATCTTCCCTGGGATATCGGAATGCCTGGGGAGGTGAGACTTTGTCCCCCTTGTCCCCCAGGATCCCTGGGTTGGGAGACACATTTAGGTGGGCTCAGGAGATGAGTTCCTGGGAGCTTTGCAGGGTAAATGAGGATGCTGGAGGTTCCAGAGGGAGATGCTGGAGCAGGAAGACAACAGGATCATCTCTCCATCAGACATGGAGCCTTTGCTCTCTGTGATCTTTTCCTTGCAGCAGTCAGGGATCCTGGAGACAACCTTTGGGTGTCCCCTCCTTAGGCAAGGACAGGAGGGGATG